CTCTCTCTCTCTCTCTCTTAAATCAAAGTTTACATTTTGAAACTCGCAACATAACAATCCTAATCTCAGAAGCCTGGCAAAAGCTGTCCTAAAGTTTTCAAGTGCCTGGACATGTGACAGCTGAGAAGAGAGAGGAAATACAATGGGGTAGAATTAAATGAGTAAAAAGCAAAGAGAGACAGTCAGAATTTGCACTACCTGTGGAGGAGTCCTCATATTTTCACTGTAGAGTTCTCTGTGAAACTTCTTGTTGGTTCGTTTTCCCCTCTGCCGTCTCTTCAAAGGACTGCAAACTGTATCATTTAAGATCAGAGACAAAGCCTTCCCTTCTTACTCTGGCTGAAGGCGCTGAAGAGGAGGAGTGGCAGAGAGTTTGGTCAGAATAACATCCTTCAAGAAAACAGAACTTGGAAACTGCTCCACCCACCACCCTTTCCTCCTAGAACACGTAAAATCATACACAGTCTGTGATCCCTATGATGGTACACTACTTTCTTACTGGTCTGGAGTTTACAGCCTCTTCTTGCTTCTCCATCTCTCTCTTTCTTCTTCCATGCTGAATTACCTGTTGCACACCTCTTTAAGACCAGAATGTCTTGTGTTCACACACAACTGACATCTGTGCCCTGACAGCTCATAGCTTTCAACAGGGTTTTCTTTCAGTCCTGTGTGTCTCTCGTTCCAGCCCATCTCACCCCCACTACTCCACATGCCTGCTTTGGTCTGATATGTTTTCTGCACATCGCCTGTTTCAGCCTGCTGCAGTGGGGCCCTCAGGCTTCTGCTAACATTCATGCTCAAAATAATGTAAGCTGAGGATTCTAACAGTTGTCCTTCTCCCTCACCCTCCAGAAACATCAGTAAACTAAATGTGTTTCTGCTATTAGCATATTCACATTGTTGTTATTTTCTATGCAGTAACTTCACAGCTGTAAACAAGAGTCGAACTACACATTACACTCTGACGTTGGCTGGATGGGCTCCTTCTTTGTCAGTAAGTGTTCTTGGAAGAGTTTTGCAAGGCAAAGGCAGGTATTTAATATTTCCTCTTAGCAGGTTTACCCCGTGAAACCCCTCTCCTCCATGACCCTCTTCAGCAATATTCACATTCTATAGGAAGGACATTTCAGAGAGAAAGCAGGCTGGGAGGGAAAGGTTTACCACTCTAGTGCTGTCAAATTATTGCTATATATGGCTAGAGCAAAATATGTGTTGCCTTTGAATTTCTGAATATCTGGCATGCTTTTTCCATGTACCAAACATGTGGAAGTCAGAAGGGATTTGTGGTCCAACTGTTTCACATGTCATTTATCTGTGTGTGGTAATCACCATTGCCATTTTGACTTTTCAAATGCAAACTTTTAAACAGTGATTTTGCAAAAGGAGTTCCAGCATGAATTGCTAGGGATTAGCCTTAAGATTTCAACTCTCTCTGTAGAATCACTAGAGACTAATCAGATAGTACATCCTATCCCTTACATGCATGTGTGTGCATGTATATGCTAACACAAATCCTAAAGCATCATATAGAGAGCATGTCCAACATTTTTATACACTGAGCTGCTGAGGTGAACCTGAAACATTTTTTTACATGATACGGAAAATGTGTTTGATGTGTCTGTAACTAAAAGAAGAAACATGCTCTTGGCTTTTAAATAATGGGCAAGATAAATAAATAAAGCATAGTGGAAGTGGGAAAACAAAATGTGAAAATATGTTCAGCCAAATATCTATAGGAAGTACCACAGAATATCCTTATTTTTACCTTTAAAATGTTGGAAGGCAGTCATTTATAGAAATGTTTTGACTTACAATAATGCCAAGGCTGCAACAACTTACTCGTGGGTAGACATGCCTAGTGTGCCTCCTTTAAGGGGCCTATAAAACCAAAGCCTTCCAGAGCTAGAGTTACACAAGGACCACTCTGTGGAGCTGTTCAGGTTCCAACCAAAGTTTGTTTGTTTGTTTGTTTGTTTGTTTGTTTGTTTGTTTGTTCGTTCGTTCGTTCGTTCGTTCGTTCGATTTCTACCCCACCCCTCTAGACAACGACTACTTGGGGCGGCTTACAAATATCATAAAATATCATTAAATACAATAAAACATCACAATCATAAAACATTTAAACAGTAATATAATGTGATCAAGATGGGGAATGAAAGAACACAAAGATAGATTTCAAGAATTGACAAGAGGGAAGGCCTGCCTGAAGAGCCACATATTTAAATGGCTCTTGAAAACAACCAGCGAGAGAGCCAGGCAGATCTCTGGTGGAAAGCTGTTCTATAGTCGAGGGGCCACCGAGAAGGCCGAGAAGGCCTGGTTTCTTGTTCTTTCTTTCCAGGCCTCTCTTGGCGTTAGGCCTTTCAACCGTCCCTCCTAGCTATGCCAAGTAATTCGGGCAGATCTGGGTGGGAGAAGGCAATCTGCCAGGTACTGAGGTCCTAAACCGTTTAGGGCTTTATACATCATTATTAACACTGAAGTCGATGCGGAAGCGAATGGGCAGCCAGTGTAAGGCAGCCAGAGTGGGAGAGATATGCTGGTGTTTTCTCACCCCACTAAGGAGTCTGGCCACCGCATTCTGCACCATTTGAAGCTTCTGCATCAATCTCAAAGGTAGCCCCACGTAGAGCGCATTACAGTGGTCTAATCTCAAGATTACGAGCGCGTGGATGAGAGTGGTGAGGGCCCCCCCCATCAAGGTAGGGTCGCAGCTGAGCAATCCGCAGCAGATGAAAATAGGCAGAGCGGGCCACGGATGCTACCTGGGTTTCCATGGTAAGCGCCGGGTCCAGATGTATCCCCAAGCTGTGAACCCCACTCTGTGTGGTGAGAGTCACCCCCCAATAGAGAGGGAGTTTCCCAAACCGCCAATGGAGGGGCCACCCACCCTCAAGACCTCCGTCTTGTCCGGGTTCAGCCTCAACCCCCTCACCTGAATACTACTGGGTTAGTCCCCTCACCTGAATACTTTGTGTTGAGGGGAGCTTGGAAATAAAGACAGCATGCCCCCCCCCATATTCAGATTCTGATTTCTTTTGTACTTTAAGGAGTTTTCTCATGATTTATTTATTACTACCATGTTTCCCCAAAAATAAGACAGGGTCTTATATTAATTTTTGCTCCAAAAACACATTAGGGCTTAATTTCAGGGGATGTTTTATTTTACAGTCATGTCATCTTCTTCTGGTTGCTGCACAATGGTGGAGGTCGGGGTTTCACTTAACTGGGGCTTATTTTTGGGTAGGGCTTATATTACGAGCATCCTGAAAAATCATACTAGGGCTTATTTTCAGGTTAGGTCTTATTTTCGGTGAAACAGAGTAAAAAGTCTCCATCGGCTCTCACCAGACCTTTAGTTAAAAAAAAATAATAATAAACAGCAAAAACCAGGGCCAAATGAAAAATAATCTCTGACACTATTATTCAGTCTGGCAGGAAGTGGCTAAAAGACTTTAGCTATAAACTTTGGCTGGAATACCAAATCTGACACTAACACAGTAGAGAGTGTTAAGAAGCCTGACTCACCTACCCTATATGGTCCCTGCGAGCCATGTGTGGTCTCAAGGCCCAAACGTAGCTCCCATCTCTCTCCCGCCGCCACCTGGCACTCCTCCATAGCCTTTACTTTTGCTAAAAGACCCCTTGCAGCATCTAAGGCACATTCATCATGTTCCCCACCTTCACGGCCTGTTTTAGGCTCAAAGCGATTTGGACCCATTTGGGCCTACGGGGGTGGCTGGGTTGTGTGTGACAAAATTGCCACCACATTTCCTAGAAGCTGCATAATACAGTATTTTAAAATCAGAAGATGAGGAGCAAGTGATCACAAGCACGGACCTCTGAAGTCCAGAGGAAGACATGCTGCCCACAGACCGTTAGAAGTCGACCAGCCCAGATTACAGTAAAATAATCTCCATATAAAGTGCTTGTAATATTCAATTTAAAAGTAATATATCAATGCTAAATCGTATGATCATCTCTTGACAACTGAAACCATTCCTGAAAAAGATATAACCACATAAGGCACGCTTGTTGAGAGGAGCCTTGATCTGTTCGCCTCCCACAAAACATCAGATTAGCAATCACACTATAAGCACAGCCTTTCCGGAGCATTTTATACCACAAGGATTTTTTTGAATCCTTTAATCGGTTTTGATGTATTTAATTGCGATGAAGTTTGCTAACCACCTTGGGAGATTTTTCAGGGGCAGAGAGAAAATGAGATAAAAACAGAAGTAAAAGTAAATTAATTATCCCAAAATATCAAGGAAATGCCTGGGGCTACATACCTGTTTCCGGCCTATAGGTGATGCTGACCTCTCCCTTTTGTCATGAAAGATGTAAACCATTGTATCTGTTCTATGGTCTTTACAGCTTTTGTGGGAATCCACAGACTAGTCTTTGTAAAGTCCCACAAAGGTTGATAACCACATTAAAACAGACACAATGCTTAAACCTTCTATCACAACTTAGGGAGGAAAGTGTGCCAGGTAGGCCATGAGCAGCCAACTTGAACCTCGCATTTCACAGACAATTTTGAGGAAACAGATGATTTTACTCAAGGTGCTAGGCTACAAGTCAACAGAACAAGGGCACAGACTGAGCGCCGGCTAAATCCTGGGATACAGCTTCTAGTAGCACCGAGCAAAAGCCCGCCACCAATAGTGTAGCAGTCTGGCTCCTTGTCTCGAAACAACAGTCAGCTTAGCACCCAGGAAGGTTTATTCTGCATATTCTCTTCTCTGAAGATAATTTGGAAAGCATCTGAGAGGACGCTCTGAATCCTGTCGAAAGAGCAGTTCAGTTATTTCGCAACAAAAGGAGGCCTACCCCCGAAAGCCTGTTGCTGAAGCCAGACTTTGAGCAGTCCTGTACCTGAGGAAGGAGCCTAGTTGTGTTGGCCCGCTCCATGCAACTTGGTTAGTCAGACCAAGGCTGTGTCTCTAATTACAGTCCCTAGAGGCAAATAACTATGAAGCTGTTCTGAAAGTTTCCTCAGAGCAGGACACACACACACACACACACATCCCGCCAAAGAGCTCAGTCTGTCCTTATCCCTGAAGTGCACATGGAGAGTGTGTTTATGCTCATGAGATAATACTGTCAGCTTTCCATAGGCTCAGTTTATTAATGAAACCAATTTAGCCAATGCTGTGAAGCACAGTGAAGATCAGACAGAACTGGGCATCAGACGCTCCAAGCGTATTCTGGCGTACAGTACTTCTCACTGTGGTGATAAAACAGCCTGGGTAATGTGACTTCAAAATGGGTGTGGAGACTTCCATTTTAATCCATCGGTCTACACAGAAAAGCAGATGTCAGAGAAATTGATTCAAGCGCAGCCTTCTCTCTGAATTCTAGTTTGATGCAATGTTATTTGTAAGATTGTTTATTTATATAAGCCCTCACACCATAGTATCAACTCCTAGACGACCCCCTCCCCACACATCAGGTGTACGTAGAGTTGCCAGATACATGGTTACCAAAAGGAGGACGTAGAAAGACAAAAAAGAGAATAGAGGAGGACAGACGTATTGAATGTTTCATTTGAATTGTTTAAGGTTAAACCCGCAATTAATAAAATTTTATTACAATAGCTGCCAATAAATGTCTCTGAATACAGCGGTCCCCAACCTTTTTGGGACCGCAATACAGCGGTCCCCAACCGTTTTGGGACCGCGGACTGGCTGAGCCTCTGAGGAAGGTGCTCTCTCGGGCGCATGCACAGGAGCCCATGCACACACGTATGTGTGCCTACCCCTTCGCACGGGTACTTGGGTGCATGTGTGAAGGGGAGGGGGAGCGCTCACACTGGCGTTGGCACGCACGCGTGTGCGCAAATCAGCTGTGTGGAGGGGAGTGGGGGGCGGGAGGTCCCTCTGTCTTAGTGAACCAACCAAGAAACAGTCATGTTAAACATTATTTTTTTTCAAAATACGGCTGCTCGCACTCTGCACATGCTCAGAGGCAACCTTGCTAATCTGGATGCCCAAACAAGGCTCCGGCACAGGTGGCGGAAAGCGGCGCCAGGCAAAATTGAATGAGGCAGCCTCCCCTTCCTCTGAGGGTCATATATTCAAGGCTGGGGGGTGTGGGAGTCCCCGAAAGGGACTTTGAACACACACAGTCTGGGTGTTCCGCTCATGGTGCCTTTCTGGGCTCCACATGGGCTGGGCGGGCATGGTGGATTGCCGAGCAGCCGTGGCTGCAGGAGGAGGAGGCGAAGGCTGCGCTCCAGCGCTGGC